GTATCTGACTCTTTAAGATCTAGTTGGTTATTTTACTGAGTGTCATAGTTTACACACTATTCTTTGGTCTCCTTTGGGTCATTTGGGCTGTGAAACCCCAGAACTACATTCAACTAATTGATGTCTCTAGCTATCTGTATAATTTCAGTCTTTCGTTTCCTCATGTAGAAGCAGCTCAGTACATGTTTTCTTGAAGGAATAAATGAAGCTAGATAGAATGATTGTTTTCTTTAGAAGCTTATCACTTTCTGAGTTAGCTTTTAGAATTCTTTTTATTCTCCTTATTTTAACAGAGTTTAGGACAGAGGAGGATCTCCTCTAACCTAATAGGATTCCCTTTGTAGTCTTTAAAGAGAGTAACCAGGAATCTTTAGAGTAAGCAGAGCTCAATAATCCTACTGCAGGATATAAAAGGTATGGTGATGGTATTTACATTGGAGAATTGCATCCTAGGATGCATGCAGGAGCAAAAACTCCAATGTCCTTAGTGGAAAAAGAATTGTATAATATTGTTACCAGTAATTCTTCATTGAGTGATTATTGACATTCTAGAAGCTTCTTTAGAAAATGGACAAGTAAAATTTTCTAAAGGATATTAATATCTTTTAAAGCTCATCTGAATGCAGTGGATTTTAGTGTCTTGAGCCGTCTAGTCAATAAGGACCATCCAGCTGGCTTGCTTGTTCTAGAATTCCAAGCATTACAGCTGTCCTGTCCCATGCAATAGGAGTCCTATTTTTCCTAGTACTATTACTGACTGAACTGTTCCTGATTCTGAGAGCTACCAAAATGCCAAAACCTCTCCCACTCACAGCTTCAAAATTCTAGTCCCTTCTAACTCATCTGGGAGGAGAAAAACTAATTTATTCATCATTTTCTGTGAACCAGGCACTGTGCATACTTTACCATTTAGTTTCAAAATGTGCCAGTGTAAGTTGTTAGATATCTTGTTTACTGATTAGAGAACTAGGTATCTTTGGGGCTAATTTTAAGTAACTTCCATGTACTAAGGATTGCATTTGGCTTCTATCACTGTGGTTCCTGGCCTGCTTTTATCATATGGGACAGATATGAACCAAGCCTGGTCATGATTATATGGTACATTTGGGTAAGTGGTCTGTGTTGAAGGCACTCCCACTGGCTATTCTAAAGATTGTGGGAATCCTTATCTCAGTATATCTATACTTTAGTCATAAGACACTGGTTGGGAAACTTTGCTGCATATACATCATCTCATTTAGACTTCACAACTGCTTTGTGAGGTGTATGTTTATCATTTTTACAAAGGAAAAACTTAAGACACAGCCTCAAGTTAACATTGCATCGGGTCATATAGCCAGTAAATGATAATAGCTATTTTATCTTTGGGCCATTTTCTTTTTGGCCTTTTAAGTGGTGCATTCCCCTTCTCTAAAAGTTTTATCGGCCCCTCTGTAGCAGTAAGCCACAAAAGTATAGTAACACTTGGTCTTAGTATTGAAAATGACCCCATAATGGTGTGCTTTACACTCAGCAGTCTCCTTGTTTGGATATGGAGTTCTTTTTTTTTCAGGGGGGTCTGGTCGTGGGGCCTGAACTCTGGGCCTGGGTGCTGTCCCTCAGCTCTTCAGCTCAAGGCTAGTGCTCTACCACTTGAGCCACAGCACCACTTCCGGCTTTTTTCTTTTTGCTTATGTGGTGCTGAGGAATCAAACCCAGGGCCTCATGCATGCAAGGCAAGCTCTCTACCACTGAGCCATCTTCCCAGCCCCGGATGTGGAGTTCTTAGACCACTAACTTCCAGATCAGTTTTTGTGAAATCTTCTCTGGCCAGATGCTGGGGTTTTGTTTTGTTTTTTGTTGGTCGTGGATTTTGAACTCTGGGCCTGGACCCTGTCCCTGAGCTTTTCATTCAACTCTACCACTTGAGCCACTGTGCCAAAAAAAGAAGAGAAAAACAGAAAACAATGCAACTACCTGCTAAGTCATGCACTATAGGCTTTTTATCAACTCCATGACTCCAGCACTGGCTAGCCTTCCCCAGGAAAATGTGCTACCATGCTTGCTTCCTTTGTTATCCATCCTCTTACTAATTTATTCAGATGGGCCATAGAATATTGTTTCTGTTTCTTTGTTCTGTACCTTTGTATTTTTTTGTTTTTTGTTGGTACATGGCCTTGAATCCAGGTCTTCAAACTTAACTGGCTGGTACTTTACCATGTAAGCCACTCCTTCAGCCCAGCTTTTTGCTAATTACTTTAGAGATAAAGTCAAAACAGACTTTTATGTGCTGATAGCCTCTTGAGTAATTACCAGTGCCTAGCAGGTGTAGTTTTCTAGAGGTGAGGAATGTTGCTGGCTATTCATTGCTTTGTATCCTGGTTGTAGTTTTAAAGAAAATGCTTACAGGCAATTTAGTTCTTTCCTCTTGTTCTGAACTCTGCTTCTCCATAAGCACACTTGATCCTTCATTTTTACAGAAAAGATGTCCATGTCCGTATCCTAAATCACACATGGATGACTTTGAATAAGCAATGAGAATCTTTGTATATGATTCATATACATTTTTTGGGGGGGGGTTGGTTGTGGGGCTTGAACTCTGGGCCTGGGTGCTATCCTTGAGCTCTTCAGCTCAAGGCAATACCACTTGAGCCACAGGGCCATTTCCGGTTTTTTGATGGTTAGTTGGAGATGAGAGTCTCAAGGGGAATTTCCTGCCCGGGCTGGCTTTGAACCACAATCCTTACATCTCAGCCTACTGTGTAGCTTGGATTTATAGGCATGAACCACCAGTACCCAGCAAGATTTTTTGTTGTGTTTTTTTTTTATCTTAATGCATCCAGTTTCCTTAAATGATGCTGCTTAGCCTCTCTATAAGCTTTAAAAATCATAAACCCTATCAAATGTTCTACTATTTTCAACAACCCTGGAGAAACTCAGTCTTGATTCCTTTTGCAAGTGAGGGAGCAGAGAGAACAGTAAAAGATACATTATACTGGGTTGAGAGGTATTGAGCAAATTGGGTACAAACAAATGTGGAATGTGTACATCTTGCCTATTAACCTATAAAACAAAGTACAGTTAGTTTCTAACTCCCACTTCCTACCTGAGTAGCAGGAGATGTTTCCCTTTTCTTTTTATCCCTACTTTAACCCTGTTATACTAAAATAAATACTTGCCAAAACTTACACACACACACACACACACACACACACACACACACGACTGGAGATGTGGTTTAAGTGTAGGGCACTCACCCTGAGGTAGATTTTTTGCCCTCTACTTTTGGCTTTGAGGTGAAAAAAGCAAGGAGCCTTTGCTCAGTTAATTGGGCATTATTGCTTATATATGTAGAACATATGTGTATTTTCTTGAACTTAGGGCCTGGACACTTTCCTTGAGCATTTTTGCTCAAGGCTAGCACTCTCCCATTTGAGCCACAGCACCACTTCCCATATGTGTACTTTCTAAGACTAACAGTAGCCAGGAGCTGGCGGCTCACATCAGTAGTAATCCTAGCTTCTTGGGAGACTGAGATTAGTAGGTTTGCAGTTGGAAGCCAGCCCAGGCAAGATAATTTTCAATTCAGTTGAGTAAATAGCTAGTCACAGGCTCATGTGCCTGTACATCCGAGCTGTATAGAAAGCCTAATGTAGATAAGTGTTGCTCAAGTAAGAAGCAAAACCTTATCTCAGAAATAACCAACAAAAATCAGGGCTGGAGGTCTGACCAGTTAGAACACTTGCCTAACATTCACTAGTATATGTCAAATAAAAGTATGCATGTCAGATCAAGCCAGGAACCACACAGAATGTCTTCAGGTCCATTTTGTTTTGTTTGTCACAGTTATGTGAGATAATGTGAGCAGTTATAGATAACATTTTAAAAAAAGTTTATTGATTCCTCAAACAAAAACCTAATTTAAAAAAACCAAAGTTTAGATGATTTCATGGTGTTATTTTGTGCTATTTTCTATGTAGATATAGAAGTAGATTGACTAAAGTAGAACCAGAGAAGGCTGGTTATAAAGAAAGAAAGATTTGTGGAAAGACTTTCAGTGAGTGGTCTTTGAAATGGAACAGCGCTTGCTATTTTGTTTTGTAGTCTCCAGTCATCCTTACACTTTAAGCAAATTAAAACCATTCTAACTAGGTGCAGGTAGCTCTCTCCTGTAATCTTCCCTACTTGAGAGGCCAAGATCTGAGGATCTCCGTTTGAAGCCAGACAGGGCAGGAACTTACATGAGACTCTTTTTTGTTGTTGTTGTTGGTCGTGGGGCTTGAACTCTGGGCCTGAGCGCTGTCCATCAGCTCTTCAGCTCAGGGCTAGCACTCTACCACTTGAGCTACAGCATCACTTCCGGCTTCCTGATGGTTTATTGGAGATAAGAGTCTCACGGACTTTCCTGTCCAGGCTGGCTTTGAACCACGATCCTCAGATCTCAGCCTCCTGAGTAGCTAGAATTATAGGCGTGAGCCACCTGTGCCTGGCTTCCATGAGACTCTTACTTCAATTAACCACAAAAAAAAAAAAGAAATCCAGGTGTGATTCAAGTGATAGAGTACTAGCCTTGAATGGAAAAAGCTCAGGTACTGCACCCATACCCTGAGTTCAAGCCCTGGTACTGGCACCAAAAGACAAAAATATTTTTACATTGTAGTTAGCCATTTTCCTTCCAGTTTGTCACCTACTGTTACCTATATCCTGTGGGGGGAGATGTTAAACAAAAGATGGCATTATGTGTGGTTCACATGTACAATTGTGTAATTGTGTATCATGTCAAAGAATTAAGAATTTCCTGTAAGCACCAACCATGGCAGGAGATCCAACAGCTGGCAAAAACCAAAAGGCTGTACCTACCTATCTTTTACCTTCCACTTCATGAGCAAATGTATGATGTACTCTCTTTGACTTAACATTTACACAGAATGCTCTGGTCAGGAGCTTTCCCAAGTCCTCTGGGAAGCAAGAGGCAGCATAAGTACCTTAACTAAGGGCCTTTTTGTTTGTTTGTTTTACAGTAACAAACCAGAAGCAGTAGAAGTAACATTTGCAGGTAAGTCTCTTTATTGTAACCATATTAAGTGAGAACACAATATAAAAAACCAGAAGGGCTTAAGTGAGATGAGTTCTTGCCTAGCAAGAACAAGGCTGATTCTAAACAAAGTGTATGTGCACTTGTGTATGTACATTACACACACACACACACATATATTAGAAAACAAAATTTTGATGGTCTGTTTGGGGTCTTAGGTGACTTAATTTTATATATAGTACATTGACAACTGATTTTAGAGTTAGGTGACCTGTGTGTTTACCTGCTGATACCTTTTGGTTTCATTTTGTTGTACAGTCTCTTTACTCTGAAAGTCCTATAATATTTTTTTAGTAGCTATCATCTAAGTTTGCCTAGTGCTAGAGTAGAAGTAGGAGCATGGTAATTGCCCCTCAACCTGCCCCCCCCCCCATTAAATCGGAGAGATGCTACCGCCCTTCATTGTTATGCAGAATTGGTGTCTGTGACTTACTTGCTGTGTGAACTCTGAGGGATAGTGCAACCACTTCTATAAAATGGAGTGTTTGATTAGATTATCTTAGGTAACTGCTGAGTTCTAAGGTACTATTTGTGGTTCTAAGGAAAGGCACCATCTCTGTCCCCTCTTACTAACTAGCAGTACCACAGTTCTCATAATCCATGACTCTCCTTCTAGCTCCCAAAGTGATGGCACTTACACCTAGCTTCAAGAAAGACCCAGACTGAATCATCCATGGTATGGTACAAGAGAGAGGCCTAGAGATTACAAAAGACTTAAAACATAGTCATATCTATTATATTGATCTCGGATCCTAACTCAAATAAAGACAGTTGAGTTTAAAATCTTTTTGAGACAGTAAGTCATTTCAACAGTTGACTGGATATTTGATAAGAAGAAAAAAGTTTAAACATGACAACATTTCTTTAAATATAGTCATCTTTGGGGCTGGGAATGTGGCTTAGTGGTAGAGTGCTTGCTAAGCATGCATGAAACCCTAGGGTTTGATTCCTCAGTTCCACATAGAAAAAGCCAGAAGTGGCGCTGTAGCTCAAGTGGTAGAGTGCTAGCCTTGAGAAGCAGAAGCTCAGGGACAGTGCCCAGCCCCTGAGTTCAAGCTCCAAGACTGGCCAAAAAAGAAATAAAAGGTCATCTTTAAATAAGGTAACCGATGACACCATATAAATGGAAATTATTTATGACCTGACACATATAAATGTAACCCCTGTGTATATCACTTCTATAATAATAAACTTAAATGCATTACAAAGCCAGAGATTGGTGACTCATGCCTAGCTACTCAGGAGACTGAGATCTGAGGATTGAGATTCAAAGCCAACCCAGGCATGAAAGTCCATAATACTATCTCTATATAACCACCAGAAAGCCGGAAATGGCCCTATGGCTCCAAGTAGTAGAGTGCTAGCCTTGAGCAGATAAGCTCAGGGACTGCACCCAGATGGAGTTCAAGCCCTGGGGCACCACAAAAATAAAAATAAAAAATAAATAAAATGCATCACAATAAAGGTCTTACAAAGTTCTTTTAGGACTAAGCTATGGTTAAGGTAAAAATAGTAGCTTTCTAAGTTTAGGAAAGAACAAAAGAGGTACATTATGCAGTTCTAGAGGTATTTTTGCTGACTGCCCATGGGAATTTAAAATAGACCATTGTTTTACAAGTGTCTTTGTAACAAGAGGTCTTTATTGTGGCCTGATCTAAGGTAAGTGCTTAGAGAGATCATTCCTTCTTCCCAGGGTAAGTCATTTTATTTGCTTTCCTCACAGATTTTGATGGAGTCCTCTATCATATTTCAAATCCTAATGGGGATAAAACAAAAGTGATGGTCAGTATTTCTTTGAAATTCTACAAGGAACTTCAGGCACATGGTGCTGATGAGGTAAGTTCCACATCATTTTCCTAGGACTCTTACTTCTCCATCACCTTTTGTTGGCAGCTTTACTCTCACAGTACAATTTGGTACTAAGTCATCCCTACCACACACAAGACACCAGCCACTCTGCACAGTTTGCTTGCTCACCTAGCCAAGTGGCTCTTGGCTTCATTTCCTATAACCATGAAAAGAAATGCTTCCCAGAAAAGATTTTGGCTTTTTGCCTGTGTGCTTTTTAACTTGGAGAAATAAAGATGTTCTGTAACCAACGTTTAATAACCTAATCAATATCTTAAAGGGATTTTACCATTTTCTCCAAATAGGTTACCAATATTTTACAAACAGTGGGAACAAGGACAAAATAAGTTAGCTTTTCTTTAAATAGCAGAGAATAAGTATTTTGTTAACTAGTACAAAAATAGCTACTGTAAGAATAAAATAGGTTCTGTTCTTATTTTAGAACATCATTGAGGCAGGAATATAACTATGCTAAGATTTTATAGTCTTAAGCTTTTGCTTTGAAGTTTAGTCAAAAGTAACTTCCCTTTACAGTTTTTTTTTCCTTTTCTTTTTGTCACTCATGGGGCTTGTACTCAGGGCCTGCACACTAAGCCCTGAGCTCTTTTTGCTTAAGGTTAATTAAAGTTAATATTCCACCACCTTGGGCCACAGTATCACTTCCGTTTTTCTGGTGTTTAATTGGAGAGGAGAGTCTCCTAGACTTTCCTACTCAGGCTGGCTTTGAACCATAATCCTCAGATCTCAGCCCTTCTGAGTAGCTAGGATTATGGGCGTGAGCCACTGGTGCCCAGCCTAAGTTAGTGTTCTTTAGAGCTGGCCCCTTGACATACTTCTTCCTTACAACTACCTTAGAAAAATTAGACAGGATATACAGACCTTGTGAAATGTTAATGGTCATGCCTTGTGACTAGCTTTTTCAATAGCCGAAAAAGCAGGTTTGGTTCCCGTTGAACTATATTTGCTCTGGGACATGCCATTTATGGAAGAAAGAAAATACTGTTACACCAGTACGCTCACATTGTGGTTGTGTCTCAAAGCAGGAAGTATGACTCAGTTCCTGAATCAGTTTTCAAATATCTTAGTTTTAACAAACTAAGCTGTCTTTAATCTGTTGAATGAAGATATACAACCATTTCTTTTTCTTTCCAAAGATTAGTAGTTTTGAATAGTTTAAAAATTATGTAATGGAAAGCTATAAAGTATGATCAAAAGCTTGATAATTTTTTTGTTATAAAACTAAAATTAGACATGTCAGAATACCCTGCAACATAGAACCACTTCTTCAGTTATTCAGATGCAAATAATTTACTCCCTCAGCTCAAGAAGAAACATTTAGAGAAGTTGAATTTGGGGCACCTTGCCCAAAAAAGGGGAATCTTTTTTTTTTTGTCAGTCATGGGGCTTGAACTCTGGGCCTGGACGCTGTCCCTCAGTTCTTTAGCTCAAGGTGAGCACTTGGGGCTTGAACTCTGTGTCTGGGCATTGTCCCTTAGCTCTTTAGCTCAAGGCGAACCCCCTACCACTTGAGCCACAGCACTACTTCCAGCTTTTTCTGTTTATGTGGTGCTGAGGAACCGAACCCAGGGCCTCATGCATGTGAGGCAAGCACTCTACCACTGAGCCACCTTCCCAGCCCAAAAGGGGAGTTTTTTAAGAGAAAGACCTAGTCTTTTGGAAACTTATGAAGTACTGTTATTATGTAAGGGAAGTGGGTAGCTCTTCTCTACCAGATAAAAAGCACAGGGAAACAGGGCTGTCCAGGAAGTCCTCCTCTTGATTAGCTTTAGGATGACTGCCTGAAAAGAAGTGCTAAACATTTGAACAGATAACTACAAAGTTATGTAATTATTTTCCTATACAGTAGTCCTCTCTTTTTAAAGGTCTAGGTGCAATGATAATTCTGTAGGAAAGAGAAGGAAATGTTTGACTAGAATGATTGATTGATTGATTTGATTGACTGGGCAATCTTACTATTAAGTCCAGGCTAGTATCAAATTCCTGATGCACCTTCCAGGTGGCACCGTACCTGTACTTTGCTCACAGTGGAACTCCAGAACACATTACAATTATTTTTTATTGTTGTTGTTATTATAAAGGTGATATACAGAGAGGTTACCGTTTCATAAGTCAAGTAATTAGTATATTTCTTTTTGGACAATGTCACCCCTTCCATCACTCTCCCAGTTTTTCCCTCCAGTGCCCACCTACAAGTTTCAACATAGTGTCTAGTGAGTACCACTGCTTCACTTGTTCACTTATTGTTTTTCCATTTCTGTGCCTCATCCCCTTAGCCTCTCAAAGAAAAAGAGCAAACAAGACAAAAGGAAAAGACACAGCAACAAAGGCAAAACCTCTTTCCATTTCCTGGAGTTCATTTTGATAAATACTATTTTATATGATCAGAGGCACTTGTGCCTTCACATTGCAGTTCTTGTAGCTATCCTGTGGGTCAAAGAACTAACACACCCACTTAAGTGGGTGGAGTAGGTAGCATTCACTGTGCTATAGCAGGCATGCAGTAAATGGTTCCCTGGGTTGGTTAAACAGTGACCAGCCTGTGATAACCATAGGAAGCTTATTACTTTGTCACCCAGCCCTTTTAAAAGGCTGAAGGTCTCTGCTGCTAGAATGGAAAGATCATAACAGCAAGGAATGAATAGGTCTCTTCCACTCATCTGGTATCTTAGGAATGGAGGCACAAATTTGAAAATGAAGCATGATTTATTTTTTTTTGGGGGGTCAGTTGTGGGGCTTGAATTCTGGGCCTGGGTGCTGTCCCTGAGCTCTTCAGCTCAAAGCTAGCACTCTACCACTTGAGCCACAGCACAACTTCCTGTTTTCTGGTGGTTTATTGGAGATAGGATTCTCAGGGACTTTCCTGCCCAGGCTGGCTTTGAACCACGATTCTCAGATCTCAGCCTTCTGAGTAGCTAGGATTACAGCTGTGAGCCACCAGCAGCCAGCTTTCTACTACTTTTAAGTAGAATTTTCCAAAAGAAAGATTTCTGAGTATTATTTTACATTTCTGAATCCTAAATTATTAATACAAAAGTAAATGTGAAAACACTCCCACATAAAAAGGTTTATGAATGAATTGTGATTTAAAATACAAGTAAAGCCAGCCACCGAGGCTTATACCTGGTGTAATCCTAGCTACTCAGGAGGCTGATACCTGAGGATCACGGTATGTAGCCAGCCTGAGCAATAAAGTCCATGAGAATCTTAACTCCGATAAACCACTCAGAAAACGGGAAGTGGTACAGTTGCTCAAGTTATAGACTGCTAGCCTTGAGCTGAAGAAGCTGAAGGACAGCATTCAGGCCCAGGGTTCAAGCCCCGTGACCCACAAAAATAAGTAAAGTACAAGTAGATCCATGGGTATGGTGAAACTGAGGCAGGAAAATCCTAAATTCAAGATAGCCTGGGCTACCAACTAGCAAAACCATGCCTTAAAAAGGGGGGGGGGGGAGGAGATGCAAGTGAAGTAGCAGGAAAATGTTGGCTGATTATGTTGACTTCATGCATATCACTATTATCTTAGCAAGTAGGGAATTAATTGAAGGGCTGCAGTTTCGCCTACATCTGGTCCCCTCCCCCTTTTTATTTTCTAGTGAGTCATGGGGCCTGAGCGCTGTCCCTGAGCTCTTGCTCAAGGCTAATGCTCTACCACTTGAGCCATAGCACCACTTCAGGTTTTCTTTCTTTTTTTTTTTTTTTGTCGGGCTTGAACTCTGGGCTTGGGTGCTGTCCTTGTGCTCTTCAGCTCAAGGTGAGTGCTCTACCGCTTGAGCCATAGCACCACTTCCGGTTTTCTAGCGGTTTATTGGAGATAAGAGTCTCATGAACTTTCCTGCCCAGTCTGGCTTTGAACTGCGATTCTCAGATCTCAGCCTCCTGAGTAGCTAGGATTACAGGTGGCCACACACTTTTTTGATGCTGGTACTGGAGCTTATACTCAGGGCCTTGTGCTCTAGCTGGCCTTTTTTGCTTAAGGCTGGCACTCTGCCATTTGAGACACACCTGTACTTCAGATTTTGCTGGTTTATTGGAGATAAGAATTTCTTGGATTTGTCTGCCCAAGCTACCTTCAAACAGTGATTATCAGATCTAGGATTACAGATGTCACCTAGCTTGATTTCCCCTTTCTTCAAGTACCAGTAATACATGTAGTACAGAATTGCATGCTGGTTAAAATTCTTGTGGATGCACATGTTAAATTTTTCTCGAAAACTGTTAGAACACCTGAAGATCAAATCTCTGTATACCACTAACATTCTGTGACCATGAAACACTATTACCTGAAACTTCCTTTTAGTTCCTATTTTGTAAAAGAGATCCCTCTTGGTGGTTGTGTGGTTAGCAACCAGGAATATATGTGGCATTGCTTACCTTTTGCCTTTATGTAAGGAAGTATGATCATGGGTTCATGATGAGAGCCATGCTAGTATCGTATTTTTTTTAGATTGGAAATATTTTCCAGCTATAGAAAAATAAGTAAACGCAGCAGGATTGAGACTACAATGTAGCTGTTAGGAACTGCGTTGTTGTTTGCCCTGCTCAGATTAAAGTTGTTTCTTAACTATACCTGTCTGCTGTACTCCTGTAGCAGCCAGGGATGCTTTGTCTCATACATGTTATGAAAATAAAAAAATAATAATTAAATCAGTATATAGAATATTATGAAAATATTGTTCAATAGACTTATTTACAAGCAACTAGATCTTCCCAAATAACAAAGAGTACACTCTGGGATGCAGTTCGGTGGCAGCACTTGCTTAGCATGCACGAAGCCCTAGGTTTGGTCTCTAGCACCACTAGAAAAAAAAGAAAGAATAAATTGGGGTTGAAGAACTTTACCATATGATAGTATTTTTCTCAAAGGAAACATAAAATGTATGGTTTCTTTTTGTTTTAAATATTCCCTAGAGCATAGAAAGTAAGATGAAAAAATTGGTATTCCTGTGGGTGGTTATTGCTTATATTTGTATGCTTTTGTTTGCTTGTGCTGTTTGCATGGAGCTGGACCCTAGTAGCACTGCCTATGTTTCTCTTGCTACTGAAATTATTTTAAACAAGTATGTATAACTTAATATTAAGACAGCAACTTTGAGGTTTTGATTTGTATTTTCTCTGATGACATTCATCTACTTATTAGCCAATTGCAAAGATTCTATCTGGAAACATCTATTCTTTTGCCCATTTTTAATTGGGTTATTTGTCTTTTTATTATTGGTTAATAAGATTTTATTTATATAATTTTCAGTTGAAAAGAAAGATAATTAAAATATATAATTTTTTTTAAAAGACAGAAGAAGCTTATGTTTTTTGAGGGGGTTGGTGTTGTTTTGTTTTTTGGGGTTTTTTTTTTTTTTTTTTTTGGTCATGGGGCTTGAACTGGGCCTAGGCTCTGTCCCTGAGCTCTTCAGCTCAAGGCTAGGACTCTACTACTTGAGTCATAGTGCCACTTATGGTTTTCTGATGGTTAATTGGAGAGAAGAGTGTAATGGACTTTCCTTTCCTGGCTGGCTTTGAACTGTGATCCTCAGATCTTAGCCTCCTAAATAGTCAGGATTACAGGAGTGAGCCACTGGCACCTGGGTATGGCTTTCATTTTTAACTTGATAACTTACATTAATTAAAAGTTGTTTGTGATGAGAGAGTATTAGAAATGGACTTAAAGACAAAAATCCTGAATTCTGTTATAGTACTGAATTTTAGTATGTTGGCTCTAGTTTTACCTTGACACCTTTCCTCCTTCGTTACAAATTTTTAATGAGGGTTTCTAGCAAATACTCCCTGTCTGGTTTTTGTTTGGTTTGGTTTTATTTGAGAAAGTTTCATGTATTTCAGGCTAGCTCTGTCCTAGTGATCCTTTTAACTTCCTTAGTGCTGACAAATTACAAGATTCCTTGCCATGCCCAGAAACATGTCAATTTTTTATTCTTTAATTTTTTTGTGTTAGTCATGGGGCTTGAACTTAGGGCCTAGGCACTGTCCCTGAGCTGTTTCGTTCATGTCTAACCCTCTACCATTTGAGCCACAGCTCTGCTTCCAGCTTTTTTGGTAGGTAGTTGGAGATAAGAGTCTTGTAGGCTTTTCTGTCCTGTTCTGGCTTCCAACCTGGATCCTCATATCTCAACTTCTTAAGTAGATTTGCAGGAGTGAGCCACCAGTGCCCAGATATTTTTTTGTTGTTGTTTTTTAAATATCAGGATTGCTAAACACCAAAAAGCTCTTTCAGGTTGCCAGTGACTAATATACTTTGTTTCTATGTCCCAATAAGTGCCTTTCCACTGTTTAATGTATCACTTACAACATTTATATCAGATTTTCATCAGAAACTTCTGTTCCATAAATCATGTCAGTCCAGCAAATTATATCAGGTGAAGCAGTCACACTGGCAGAAAAACAAATAGGAAGGTGTAACTGCTTTATTGTTTTTGTTTTTGTGTCATCTACTTCAAAAGGCTGGAATGTAACCAGCAATGAGTGTCAGTTTGGGAAAACACTGGGTAATGTCTGTGGAGTCACCAATATTAATAGTTCACTGAGTTTTTATCCATTTTATTTTGCCAAAAGCTGCTTACGAACTAAAATATTTTAAAGCTTATAAGATTAGCAGACTAACAGAAATCTGTTCCCTGCAATTATTTTGTCTCTTCATTCACCTGGGTTAGTGGCTCAGACGATCTTTAGTTGATACTAACATAATCTATCCTTTCCCTTGTATTTGTCATGCTTCTCTTTGAAAACAAAAATGATTGGGTGCTATATAGGATCCCAAGGAGAACAGAAACACTGAGTGGGTGATTAGTTTTTTGAAGTTTAATCCCATTCAATGAAGGACCCGTTTTAGATAAATCCACTTGTCCCTTTAGTTTCCTACCCTCCCGCCCCCCAAATGAAAGTTAAGAAAAATGCTCTCCTGAAAGAACTTGACAGGTTCATTGTGGATTTTGGATTAACTTTTGTTTTTCTTTAATTTTATAGTTGTTAAAGAGGGTGTACGGAAGCTTCTTAGTAAACCCAGAATCAGGTATGTAATTTATGTGACAACTGTGGAATGATAATGGAAACATGTACTGTTTGTTCTAATCTTGGGTTTTTTTGGTTTTTGTTTTTTGTATGTCATTAGGCCTGAACTCTGGGCCTGGGCGCTGCCCCTCAGCTCTTCAGCTCAAGGCTAGCCCTCTACCACTTGAGCCACAGTGCCACTTCCAGCTTTTTCTGCTTATGTGGTGCTGAGGAATCGAACTCAGCCTCATGCATGCGAGGCAAGCACTCTACCACTGAGCCACCTTCCTAGTCCCTAATCTTGTTTCATCTAAAGTATTTCATTTAAATATTACTCACTTTCCAGATATTTCTTTGGAAGCCTAGTTCTCAATTCAACTCCTTCTATAAATACACCTTATTAGGAGCTCTGTTTCGTTGCATGTGGTATCTAGTAGGTGGTACAGAATTAATGTGTCATTATTAAACTATATTTGATATTGCTAAAAATGACTGACTTAACCTCTCAGCTGGAGGGCTACCTTTGTTTGCTCATGGTGATTAAAATGCCCTTGATATGACTGAACAAATGTAAACTCCTACTCACAACCCTTAATAATACCTTTTTCTGTACAGCGCATATTTGGAGAAGAGGACTATTCATACTATTCTTACAATTTCAAATTTCAAAAATATCCTTCCTCTTTTTAATTCATCCTTATAATAGAGGATCGCTATGTTCATTGTTAAAGACATGGCTGTGAACTGCTCCATCCCTAAGTAGCACAACTATGACATACTACTTTAAAGGTGACCAGCATTTCACCCCTCTAATGTTGTCTCAGCTTCTGAGACACTTAGTGGAGTTTCCAGAGTGAGACCATTTGGTCACCATTTAGCAGGACCATTTGGACATGTTTTTTTGCTTAAACGTTCTTGGATCTTGGCTAGCAGAGTGTTGTGAAAAGGAAGATCCCCCTGTGTCTCTCTCTTAACAGCACTCACTGTGGTGTTCCACCTTCACATGACACTGCCTAGCCACCCACATTAGAATTCTTCACCTCCCTGGATTCCTGCTTCTTTCTAATAAAGGTACCTTTCAGTGCACCTTGTTGCCAGGAATATTTTTGGGTGGAAACTTTGAAAGCAGTCTATAAATGATACTAAAATATGTTAATCATCAAATTGATGGGACAAGTGCATCATAGAAATAATAAACTAAATAAGCTGGGTACCTATGGCTTATGCCTGTAATCTAGCTATTGGGAAGGCTGAGATCTGAAGATCTCAGTTTGAAACTAGCCCAGATAGGAACATTTGTGTGTTTTTTTTGTTGTTTTGTTTTTGTTATTGTTTTGGTCCGGTTGTGGGGCCTGAACTCTACTCTGGGCCTGGATGCTGTCCCTCAGCTCTTCAGCTCAAGGCTAGCGCTCTACCATTTGAGCCACAGCGCCACTTCCGGTTTCTTTTTTCTTTTTTGCTTATGTGGTGCTGAGGAATCGAACCCAGGACCTCATGCATGCAAGTCAAGCACTCTCCCACTGAGCCACCTTCCCAGCCCAGATAGGGACATTTGTGAGACTCATCTCCAATAAAAGCCAGAAATGGAGCTATGGGTCAAGGTAGAGAACTAACTTAAACAAAAAAGCTCAGGGACAGAGCACAGGCCTGAGTTTAAGCCCAGGACCCACATGAAAAAAACAGCAAAGAAGTAGATAACACTGTAGGTTTTGAAAGGAATCAAAGAATTTAAATAAGTAAAAAACAGCTGAGTACTGGTAGTCCCTCCTATAATCCTAGCTACTTAAGATGTTAGAATCTGAAAATAGAGATTCAGAGCCAGCCTAGGCAGACAAATCCATGAGATGTCCATGTCCAGTTAATCAGCAAAAAGTTAAAAGTGGAAGCAAAGCTTAAGTGGTAGATCACCAATTGTAAGCCAAAAAAAAAAAAAAAAAGCATGAGGCCTGGAGCTCAAGTCACAGTGCTGCACAACACAGATCTAAAATACATGTTGGAACTTGGCCATGCTTATCACAACTGGATCCTGACACATAGCTTATGTTTTTCTCCTTGGGTCTGTCTTCTACTATCCTGTAGAAGCACAGACATTGCCAAATTGCAATGAATTCATAGAAGTACAGTCTGATTTCATTTGACTTATTAGACAGCAAACTTTAACTTTCCTTCTTGAAATCTAATTTCTAATTATAGCCATCTATTTGCCTAACTGGCTTTTCAGGTACCCAAAACACAATAGTGATTATTTAACATTAAAATGACAAATATGTGCTAAGCATTATGTAGAAAAAAAAGATTTAGATAGCTTACCCTCAAAGAGGATAGATCAAAAAGAACAACAATAAAAACAGATCTTTGGAATGCTCTTGGGAAAAAATGCAGTAGTATAAAAATTTGAAATATTCAGAAGTGCGGGATTGTTACAGCTCTAGTAAAACTATTCTGTCAGTTGCCTGGAATGTGACTTGAATCCTTAGTGGCCTGGAACTCAGGATCTTTCTGCCTCGGCCTCACTAATTCTCAAATTACAGGCATATGCCACCATGCCTACCTTAAGTTTTCTTTTATTCTCTCTCTGTCTCCCCTCTCCCTCCTCATCTCCTCTTTTCTCCCTCTCCCCCTCTCCCTCTTCCTTTCCTTACCCCCCTCCCTTTTTGTGACAGTCTTAGGGCTTGATCTCTGGGTTCAGTCTCTGAGCTTTTGTGCTCAAGACTAATGCTCTATTAAGAGTTTCATGGACTTTCCTGCCCCAGCTAGCTTCCAACCACATTACAGCTCTTGGCTTCCTGAGTAGCTAGGATTATAGGCAGGAGCCACCAGCACCTAGCTTTTTATGTTCTTTTAATGCCCACAACAGTCTCCCCTGTCTACATACCCTTAATTTTAAACAGATGAGGAAATTGTAAAGATTAGGTTATTTTTCAAAGCCATATGGTGATAAAACCAGAATTTAAACTCTGTATTGTTCAGCTTAAAACAGAATAGCCTCTACCCATATGTTGTCCTGTATTGAACAAGTCACTGCTTTTTTTTTTTTTGCTGGTTGTGGGGGCTAAACTCTGGGCCTGAGCACTATCCCTGCACTCTTCAGCTCAAGGCTGGCGCTCTACCACTTGAGCCATAGCACCCCTTCTGGCTTTTCCTTTTTATGTAGTGCTGAGGAATCGAACCCAGGGCCTCATGCATGCGAGGCAAGCACTCTACCACTGAGCCAGCCCCAAATCACTGCTTCGTTCAACCTATTTTTTTCCTTTAAACTAAAATTTTTAGTTGGGTATCGATGGCTCACACCTGTAATCCTAGCTAGCAGGATCTGAGGATCGAGGTTCAAAGCCAGCTGGGGCAGGAAAGTCCATGAGGCTATTTTTTTGTTGTTGTTGAATTAATTTAATTTTATTGTAAAGATGATGTTCAGAGGAGTAACAGTTACATAAGTAAGGTAATTAGTACATTTCTTGTTGAACAGGGTTACCAGGTTTTCTCCCACTTTCCCTCCCTTCTACCTCCCCCGTGAGACTTTTATCTCTAGTAAACTACCAGAAAACCAGAAGTGGCGCTATGGTAGGGCACTAGCCTTGAGCTGAAGAGTGGGGAGACAGCATGCAGGCTCAAGAGTTCAAGTCCCATGACCGACAAAAATTAAAAGTAAAATTTTACTGCCCGGCACTGCTGGCTCATGCCACTCTGGAATGAATGCCTGAGATCTGAGTAACAAGGTTCAAAGCCAGTCCTGGCAGATAAATCTGACTCTCTTACCTCCAATTAACAAGCAAAAAGGTGGAAGTGGAACTGTAGCTTAAGTGGTAGAGCTCCAGCCTTGAGCATAAAATGCTCCTTATTTTATCCTTATTTTAATATAGGTGATCACATGAAATAACAGTTTAAAAATGTTATAGTGTAGTCAAATGGAAGTTATTAAACAAGTATAATACGTGCTTTGGGTTTTCTACCTGACTGCTGCTTATAAAGGATTTGTGGTGGCATGTAAGTGGCTGTGTTTTCATCTACCCAGATGCTGACTACATTGGTACATTAATCCATCAGAAAAATTGATAGCTCAGCTGGGTGAGGATGGCTTATGCCTATAATCCTAATGAGATCTGAGGATCAAGGTTCTTAGCCAGCTCTGGCAAGGAAGTCCTTGGCACTCTTTATCTTCAGTTAACCACTAAGAAGTCAGAAGTGGAACTGTGGCTCAAGGCTAGTTGACAGTTAGCCTTGATCAGAAAAGTTCAATGACAGTGCTCAAGCCCTGAGTTCAAGTCCCATGACCAACCAAGAAAAAAAAAAATCCCTCTAAAACACTGTATTTCTAATTGAAGATTCTAGATTATAACTTATTCATATTCCTTATTTGTAATCAATCATTTTTAATGCTGATTAAGATTTTTGCTTAGCATCTATTAATTAGTTGTAGATGTTTACAAACACTGAGCTTTCATTTTGATTCATTTTGCTGTATGAGGTATATAAATGATGGTGAAACACAATGACATGTCATCGGAACCTGAAAAAAATCTGTCTTGTGTAATAGTCTTTAGATACTGATTGCCTAATAAATTATTTTTTATTTATTTGAGGCTTCTTAAAGTTTTTTCTTTTGCTGGTCCTGGGGCGTGGACACTGTCCCTGAGCCTCTTTGTGCACAAGGCTAGTACTCTACCACTTGAGCCACAGCTCCACTTCCAACTTTTTTTTTTACTGGTTTGTCATGGGGCTTGAACTCTGGGCCTGGACCCTGTCCCAGAGCTCTTCAGCTCAAGGCTAGCGTTTTGTCACTTGAGTCACAGCGCCACTTCTGGTTTTCTGATGGTTAATTGGAGATGAGTCACATGGATGTTCCTGCCCAGCTGGCTTTGAACCGTGATCCTCAGATCTCAGCCTCCTGAGTAGCTAGGATTACAAGTGTGAGCCACCAGTGCCCAGCCTCTTAAGGATTTTTATTAGCATTAGTTGTACAGAGGTGTTTTGTTGTGACATTCTAATGTATCCAGTAACTTCTGAGTAATTTGTCTTCTCCCTCCAGGATACAATGTTTCTTTGCTATATGACCTTGAAAATCTGCCTGCTTCCAAGGATTCCATTGTGCATCAGGCTGGCATGTTGAAGCGAAATTGTTTTGCCTCTGTCTTTGAAAAATACTTCCAGTTCCAAGAAGAGGGCAAGGAAGGAGAAAACAGGGCTGTTATCCATTATAGGGATGATGAGACCATGTGAGTATGAAATGCACTTCTCAAGCTGGAGTGTGGCTGTCACAGTAGGGTGGCACCTAGAGAATAGTGCAGTCAAACCTGAAACCCTCCTGTGTGAATCCCTCTGAAATGCTCTTCTTATGAAATGATAGTGGCAAAAAATAGGACTGCTTCTGCTCTGCAAAATTGACAAAGATAAAAGAAAATTCTGAATCATGTTTTAGAGTATCACTCATAAATCAGACAGCAAAAACTGACATGGGTTCTGTTATTGAAACTCTTGAGTTACCTCCATCAATCTCATGTATACTAGGAAATAAAATGTATTATAATATAAGTGGTGTTCTGCCAGGGCACTGGTGGCTTATACCTGGACTCCTAGGTATTCAGGAGGCTGAGATCTGAGGATCACAGCTTGAAGCTAACCTGGACAGGAAAGCCTGAGACTCTTATCTCCAATTAACTTCCCAAAAAGCTAAGAGTGGCACTATGGCTCAAAGCTCAAGGACAGTGCCCAGGCCCTGAGTTTCAAGCCCCAGAACCGACACACACACACACACACATACATACACACACACACACATAAATTTATTTATTCATTTTGTCAGTCAAGGGGCTTGAATTCTGGGCCTAGGTGCTGTCCCTCAGCTCTTTAGTTCAAGGCTAGCGCTCTACCACTTGAGCCACAGAGCCACTTACTGTTTTCTGGTGGTTTGTTCGAGCTAAGAATTTCATGGCAGGCTGGGAAGGTGGCTCAGTGGTAGAGTGTTTGCCTTGCATGCATGAGGACCTGGGTTCGATTCCTCAGCACCACATAAGCAAAAAGAAAAAAGCCGGAAGTGGCGCTGTGGCCCAAGTGGTAGACGCTAGCCTTGAGCTGAAGAGCCGAGGGACAGCACCCAGGCCGAGTTCAGACCCCACTGGCCGGACCCCCCCCATTCCTCCTCCCCCCAAAAAAATTTCATGGCTTTGGGCTGGGAAGGTGGTTCAGTGGTAGAGTGCTTGCCTTGCATGCTGAGGCCCTTCGTTCGATTCCTCAGCACCACATAAGCAGAAAAAAGCTAGATGTGGCGCTGTGGCTCAAGTGGTAGGGTGCTAGTTTGAGCTGAAGAGCTAAGGGGCAGCACCCAGGCTCAGAGTTCAGCCCCAATGACCAACAAAATAAAAAAAGAATTTTATGGCTTGTCCAGCACGAGTGGCTCACGCCTGTAATTCTAACTACTCAGGAGGCTGAGATCTACGGATCCAAAGCCATCTGGGGCAGAAAAGTCTGTGAGACTCTTATCTCCAATAAACCACTAGAAAAATGGAAGTGGCACTGTGGCTCAATTGATAGAACACTCAACTTGAGTTATGGAGCTCAGGGACAGTGCCCAGAGCTCAAGCCCCATAACCAATTTAAAAAAAAAAAATCAATCACTTTTCCTGTCCAAGCTGGCTTTGAACCACTATCCTAAAATCTCAGTCTCCTGAATAGCTAGGATTACAGGTGTGAGCCACCAGCAGCTGGCTAAAAAAATTATTTTAAGTGCTGTTCTGAAAGTACTTTAGATTCTGTCATACTTTATAAGTTAATATTTGTAAATTAGTTCCCCTTTGATCATTCCTACTTCTTGGGATTCCCTTTATTCTGACTTCTGTTAACTGCAAATAACTAGTCTAGTCTTTTGGCATGCTCTTGTTTTTTGTTTTTTGGGGTTTTTTTTGGTCCGGTTGTGGGGCCTGAACTCTGGGCCTGGGCACTGTCCCTCAGCTCTTCAGCTCAAGGCTAGCACTCTACCACTTGAGCCACAGCGCCACTTCTGGCTTTTTTTTTTTTTTTCTTTTTTTGCTTATGTGGTGCTGAGGAATCGAACCCAGGGCCTCATGCATGCAAGGCAAGCGCTCTACCACTAAACCACCTTCCCAGCCCTTCCACCTTTTCTTATTCCTTTTCATTTTAATGAAACCTCATAGGACTCAGTGTCTGATCAGTGAGTAGAGTAAGTATAGACAATAAACAAAAGAACCCAAGAGAAAGGGAGGATGCAGGTCTGTTTGTTGGTGATCAGATTGGCCTGTCTAAAGGTTTCTAGTCCTTACAACCTAGTGCCAGTTTTTCACAGCAAGCATATTGAGTATTCAATGGAATGTAGTTTCTCTGAAGGCTTACTCTATACAACAGAGCATCAAGGACCCAAAGCAAGCAGCTTTGTCTCATTTCTTAAGGTTACAGGATTTGCCCAGCTGCAAAGGTGACACCAGTAGGGGCATGACAGAATAGATGACAGCTTGCACAGCTACAAATCCAGGCCTGGGCCAGTTAATTGCTCAGGGTCATGCCCTGATCATGCTGTTTACTCCCTCCTTGTCTCAAAGACAAAACCCTGTCAAAGTTTAAGGAATGGCAAAACAAGAGGATTAGCCTGTATGAAGAGGGAGGGGGCCTTAATGGTGGGTGCTGTTCTAGCTCTCCTGATGCCTTTTTTCTCCACCCTTAGTGCTGTTCCCTCGCCACACCAATGCCACTGCTCGAGACAATACCATCAACCTGATCCACACGTTCCGGGACTACCTGCACTACCACATCAAGTGCTCCAAGGTGAGGGGCCTACCCACTTCTCAAGAATCAGCTGATGGTCAGGAGTGTAGTTCAATGATAGAACATTCATTTCACATACTTGAGGCCTTCAATTCAGTTCTCTGTACTACCAAAGAAAGATAGCACAGTCATCTTTTTCCTCTTCCTGCTTCCCTTATGTGGTAGCTTGGGTCCATCTCCACAATATATTCCTAAGCTTTCCTAGTGGCTTTTCTAGACTATGATGGCTTTGTTTGCTTCCAGGCCTATATTCACACACGTATGCGGGCAAAAACATCGGATTTCCTCAAGGTGCTCAACCGTGCACGCCCAGATGCTGAGAAAAAAGAAATGAAAACAATCACGTGAGTAGGCCACTTTCTCCTTCCTAATTTCAGCAAGAAGTAGGTGGTGAGGACCTGGTATCCTGGCCCTCTAAGTGTCTGGGCAGTGCCCTGGGTGAGGCCAGCAGGGTTGGAATTCCTTTGCATCTTTGTAAGCGATAATGTCAGCTAGGAGAAACAAACTGTCTTTTTTTTTTGGGGGGGTCCAGTCATGGGCCTGAACTCTGGGCCTGGGCACTGTCCCTCAGCTCTTCAGCTCAATGCTAGCACTCTACCACTTGAGCCATAGTACCACTTCCAGTTTTTTGGTTTTTTTTCCTGGTTATGTGGTGCTGAGGAATCGAATCCAGGGCCTCATGCATGCAAGGCAAGCGCTCTACCACTGAGCTACCTTCCCAGCCCTGTCTTTTTTTTTAAATCAAGTAGTTATACTCTTTGGTTTTGAATTGAAAAGTCATTCTTGTCCTTCCATTGTTCCTGGAGAAATAGAGAAAAATCACTTAAAGACATTTAGTTGTGTTTGGACCTGGAACCACTCTCAAAGTGTTCTCTCTTGTGCTGTGCTTCTTAGCAGGAAAATGGTATGGAGAGAAAAACTGCCTTTGTTAGGAATGGAAACCATGAGCAGAACTGTAAGCAGTATGGCTCAGTACGGAGAAGAGACCTAGTCTTTGGTAGACTTCAAGCTCCTATCCCTGTCATATAAAGCCCCTTCTACCAAGTTAGTTTCTGCTGCCATTTGAAAGGATGAGAGGTGTCTCATGTTGATGGTGAGAGTTTTCGATCATAGGAATATCAGGCAGCTATACAAAACAGCGGAAGCTCATCCCTGACTTTCAGTAGAAGCCCGTCTATTATTAGTTCTATGCTGTCATCCAGAGCCTAAGGACTAGTGTTTAGCTGTGTCAAGTGGCAGCTATCTAGGATATCTGAAAACATCAGGATATTCACAAATATGGTACAAGCAGAGCTGTGCCCAGGATTCATGTGTTCTTGTCACCTTTCACAACCTTGCTTCCACCCTACCATCTGCAGTTTCCTTTCCCTGCTCACTCATCATAGGAATACTTTTCTCACTACTTTGGTGACTTCACGTGTGAGGCAGCTGATTTCATGCGATTTTCAAGGCCCATGATCAGGATGGGCAGTTGAATAGTGGCCAGGAGAACTGGTAGCTAGGTACAGCCAAAAGGAAGTTTGCCCTAGTCAACCATCAAAGCAGAGAAGCCAGCCAGGTGCTAGTGGCTCACACCTACCTACTCAGGAAGCTGAAGGATCATGGTTCATAGACAGCCTGGGCAAGAAAATCTGTGAGATTCTTTTTTGGGGGGGGTCCAGTCGTGGGGCCTGAACTCTGGGCCTGGGTGCTGTCCCTCAGCTCTTCAGCTCAAGGCTAGTGCTCTACCACTTGAGCCACAGCATCACTTCCAGGTTTTTTTTTCTTTTTTGCTTATGTGGTGCTGGGGAATCAAACCCAGGGCCTCATGCATGCAAGTCAAGCATTCTACCACTGAGCCACCTTCCCAGCCCTGAGATTCTTATCTCCAATTAACCACCAGAAAACCAGAAGTAGTGCTGTGGCTCAAGTGGTAGAGCCCTCACCTTGAGCTGTAGAGCTCAGGGACAGCACCCAGGCCCAGAGTTCAAGCCCTATGACCGACAAAAAAGTAGAGAAGCCAGGTGGCCCCTGCCTATTGGACCTACCTGCTTGTGAGACTGGAGTTCAAGATCAGCCTCAACAACATTAGTGAGACTGTTTCAAAAACAAAAAAAACATAAAACCAAAGTTGGGCATCAGTGATTGACACCTTATCCTAGCTATTTGGGAGTCTAAAAACAAAAGGATGACAGTTCAAAGCCAGCCTGGGAAATAAAGTTCACAAAATTCTCAACTCATAGCTGAGTATGTACCTGTCATTCCAAGCTGCTTAGAAACCTGAATTGGAAGGATCAAGGTAGCAGGCCATCTCCAGCAAGAAAGTCTATGATAGTCAATCTCCATGAAAAGAAAGTTGGAGGGGCTGGGAAGGTGGCTCAGTGGTAGAGTGCTTGCCTTGTGTGCATGAGGCCCTGGGTTCGATTCCTCAGCACCACATAAGCAAAAAGAAAGAAAAAAGCCGGAAGTGATGCTGTGGCTCAAGTGGTAGAGCACTAGCCTTGAGCTGAAGAGCTGAGGGATAGCACCCAGGCCCAGAGTTCAGGCCCCATGACCGGACCCCCCCAAAAAATAAAAATAAACAGGGTTGGCTGGATAGGAGAGGCCTGAGCTGTGACTAATTAAGTAGCTGAAATTTAGGTTTCATTGGGGTCATCTAGAAATTATGAACAATGTATTGCCAATAATTTAAAGATACATTTAATGTCCTTATGGCTTAGAAAGGATGTTAGCTGGCATCTGGAAGTACAAAACAGGAGACATGGTAAAACCAGTCTTAAAGGTTGGATCTTGGCTGTGCCTTGTGGTCGCAGTAGTTCTGCCTGGGGAATCTCTCTTTTCCTCTGCTTGGTGTCCATTTGGTATCCCACCAAATGGAGTGTGGGTTGGAAGGAAAGCACAGCTGAAACCAATCTTCACTCTTCTCTGTTTTTGAAGGGGGAAGACGTTTTCATCCCGCTAACTCTTGGGAACAGAGGAGGAAGTGCTGGCAACCGAAGGCTGGACCGCTTGCTACTGGATAATCGTAGCCCTTCATGTTGCACCTCTCCAGGTTCTTAAGGGAGTCTCCATTTGGGTTCCATTTTGTACGCGTTTGGAAAATAATCTGCAGAAACGAGCTGTGCTTGCAAGGACTTCATAGTTCCCAAGAGTTAAAAAAAAAAAAAAAGAATTCCACTTGATCAACTTAATTCCTTTTCTTTTATCCTCCCTCCCTTGTTCCCCTTCCCTCCCACCCTCTTTTTCTGAGCTGTTTTGCTTTGCAATATGTTACTGGTAATGAGTTGCAAGATAATGCAATCTTGTTTTCTTCTAAATATTTGAGTTCAAAACTCCTGTATCTAAAGAAATACGGTTGGGGTCATTAATAAAGAAAATCTTTCTATCTTAAATGAGAATCTGTTGGGTTCTAGACTGAATCTAAAAGAAAAGGGTAGACTTGCAGTGCCCTTGAGTCTCCAGGCCTGAGCTGGACAGGCCATAGGTTCAAGAGCCCATGTGGTCTGGATCCTCACCCCCTTAGAGGAAAGAACGTCCAATTAGGGAGCTGTATGCTTGTTTTTTTTCTTTTTCCCTTTCTCTTTCCCCTCCCTCTCGTTTTCCTTGCCCTTTTCCCTTTGTTTTTTCTTTCAGCAGGGTTTCACTATGTAGCTCAGGCTGGCCTTGAATACTCAACCTTCCTGCCTCAGTCCCCCTCTCCCCCGATGTGCTGGTGTTGCAGATGTGGGCCACTATGTATCCAGTACACAGGCTATAAACTTGAACATGCTTCCCCTAAAGCTCAGTTGTAGAGACTTAAAGCCTGTCTTCAGTGGCCAGGAAACTCCCTGATGGTGACAGGCAAATTAAAGTGTTTATGGCTTTCTTTTATTATGAATAATATATGGCGTTTCCAAAACTGTGTTCCATGGTGTTTGTGGTTTTGCAGACATTGATTGCTATTTAGGTGTGGATCTAATGCAGACTAACTGGCCACAGTCCTCTTACACAGCATCCCCAAAGCTTACTGCACATAGCTCACTGTGGGAGCCTAGCTGAACACCTTGTCCCCTAGCAGGACGCTGATCCCCCAAAATAAAACTAGTAGAATATGATATGGAAAATTTTAGGAGCTACTTGAGCTGAAGCTTGTCCTGATGTTATATGCTTTCTTGCTTTAACACCAGCTAATTTTTTAAAAAAAAATTATTATAATAAAGGTGATATACAGAGAGATTAAGGTTACAGTTACCAAAGTCAAGGGCTGGGAATGTGGCTTAGTGGTAGAGTGCCTCCCTAGAATGCATAAAGCCCTGGGTTTGATTTCTCAGTACCACACACACAGAAAAAGCTGGAAGTAGCACTGTGGCTCAAGTGGTAGAGTACTAGCTTTGAGCCAAAGAAGCTCAGGGACAGCGCCCAGACCCTGAGTTCAAGCCCCAGGACTGACTGGCCAAAAAAAATTTTTTTTACCAAAGTCAGGTAATAAGCTCTTTTTTTTTTTTTTTTTTGGCAGGGGGGTAGGGGACATAGTCACCCTTCCCTCACTCGCACTCTCTCAGTAATTATGTGTGTTGTTTGTGCCAGGGTTTGAACTCAGCTTCATGCCCTCTTGCTTGACTCTTGGTTATAGCTGGCACTACCAGTTGCCATACCTCCACTTGGCATATTCCTAAACTGTGAGCTTTGAGAGTAACTATGGATTTTCATATGCAGTTAACAGAAATACTCTTCTTCTGGTTTCTCCAGTAGGGACATGGTGAATGACTACAGTACAGTATCGAATTTTTTTGTTTTTGTGCTACTGAACCTCAGGACCTCCTTGCTAGTCTGGCATTCTACTACTTGAGCCATGTTTCCAGCCCTGTTTTTTGCTGATTTCTTTGGGGATAGAGTTTTACTTCTTTCCTGAGCTTGGTGAGGTTGGGCCTGAGCTGCATTCTGCCTTATTATAGGCTTCCCATAGTTACTGGGATCATAGACACAGATCACTATGTCCAGCTTTCCTCCATAGTTATCGTGTGTATTTTTTTTTTTTTTGGTCGGTTGTGGGACTTGAACTCTATACCTGGGTGCCGTCCCTGAGCTCTTCAGCTCAAGCTAACGCTCTACTGCTTGAGCCTCAGCGCCACTTCTGGCTTTTTGTGTTTACGTGGTGCTGAGGAATCAAACCCAGGGCCTCATGCATACGGGGCAAGCACTCTACCGCTGAGCCACCTTCCCAGCCCATCTTTTGTATTCTTCTGCTTGGATTGGCCTAGAACATGTTCTTCCCAATCTCAGACTCCCACAAAGCTTGGAATGACAAGCAGTCTGTGTTGTATCTCTGTGTGTGTGTGTGTGACAAGCAGTCTGTGTTGTATCTGTGTGTGTGTGTGTGACAAGCAGTCTGTGTTGTATCTGTGTGTGTGTGTGTGTGTGTGACAAGCAGTCTGTGTTGTATCTGTGTGTGTGTGTGACAAGCAGTCTGTGTTGTATCTGTGTGTGTGTGTGTGTGTGACAAGCAGTCTGTGTTGTATCTGTGTGTGTGTGTGCACGCGCGCGCTGATTCTGGGGCTTGAACTCAGAGTCTGGACACTGTCCCAGAGCTCCTTTTGCTGAAGGGTAGCACTCTACCACATGAGACACAGCACCTTCTGGCTTCCGGCTTTTTCTGTCTATGTGGTACTGAGGAATCAACTAGGGCTTCATGCATGCTAGGCAAGCACTCTTACCACTAAGCCTCATTCCCAGCCCTTGGCACTTTTTTAAAAAACTGGAATCCTATAGACTGGAGCAGTCTGCATCACACCTAGTGTTTTTCAGAGATGTGATTTTTTTTTTAGCGTGAACACCAGGATGGGATGAAAAAACAGACTTGATCAGTCAAGTTTGAAAGCCCTAGGTTGGGGTGGTTTCAGTCATCGGACTTTTTTTTTGTGTTAGTCCTATGCCTTCAACTCAGGGCCTGGGTATTGTCATGGAGCTTTTTGTATTCAAGACTAGCGCTCCACCACGTAAGCCACAGCTCCACTTTCAGGTTTTTGGTGATTAATTGGAGATCAGAGTCCCCCGGACTATCCTGTCTAGGCTGATTTCAAACCATGATCATCAGCTCTCAGCCTCCTGAGTATCTAGGACTATATGCATGGGCCACCAGTACCCAGCCAGACTTCATTTTATTTCAGTGAAATGGGCTTGTGTGAAGGTCATCAGTTTCCCTGGCCACCTAGGTCAGCAAGTGAAAACGGGGCCAAATAGAAAGTGTTGGGAGGATGACTTGTAATCTGGGCCTCATGAGTTGCTTACGGAGGTCTGGGACAGCAGCTTACGCTGACTTTGCACTTCGCCCCTCGTGCTGTCTTACCAGTAGTGGGAGTCCAAGTTCTGACTTGGCAAAACCAAATGGTTTGAAATTAGGAAGTTTAGAGGAAAACAAAAGGCCATTGACTTTTCTCTGCTTATGTGGGGCTGAGGAATCAAACCCAGAACCTCATGCATGCAAGGCAAGCACTCTTTACCACTGAGCCACCTTCCCAGCCCCCCATTAACTTTTATAGTAGTAAATCCTAGGAAGCATTGTCAGCATCAAATATCCATGAAGCGTGATTTATCTAGAGTTATTCCAAGGCACATTGACTTCCATGAGGCTCTAGTTTCAGGAAACTCCTCTGTGAGCAGAAATGCCTGCTGACTCCAGTGAAGACTTAAAAGGGACAGGAGGACAGGGGGGCAGGTATTCAGAGGAGCATGAGCTGGAAAAATGACTCAGTCTCCATTACTGTTTGGCTCCCTTGCCCCAAAGTCACCTGTACCTGGGAGATGGAAATGCCTTTGAGTTTGACCTGTGCAGATAGATAGGTTTTAGAAGTTAGGTGCCGGTGGCTCATACCTGTAATCCTAGCTACTCAGGAGGCTGAGATCTGAGAATTGCAGTTCAAAGTCAGCCTGGGCAGGAAAGTCTGAAACTCTTTATCTCCAATAAAAGGTACTCAGAAAAAGCTGGAAGTGGTGCTATGGCTCAAGTAGTAGAGCACTAGCCTTGAGCACAGAGAGGCCAGGGACAGGCCCTGAAGTTCAAGCACCCAGACTGGTAGGGAAAAACAAAATCTGAAAGGGACCAGTTTGGATATAGTTCTGCTGGCTAAAAGTTCCATGACAAAAGGTTGCTTTTTCTGAGACAAAAGCTTCTTTTGTAGTTGGACATACTACATATCCCACAAGTTGCTAAAGGAAGAGAATAGATAAGATGCTGCCACAGCATAAACAGACATGAGTTGTGGCTCTAGAAGTAGAACCCAACAGCTCATGCATTATCTCCAGTTAACTAGCAAGAATCTGCAAGTGGAGGTGTAGGATTCCTTGAGTAACAAAAGCAAAGTGAGAATGTAAGGTCCAGAAGCAGCAGGAGTGAATGAGTGACTGAATATTAGTTCCCTTTACGCTCAAGGGGACCCAAAGTGACAAGACTAGAAAAGAAATGTGTCATTTAAAGCAAGCCTTCTGTCTTGGGGTTTTTCAGTTCTTCCCCCGGGGAAGATGTTGCTATAAAGGGCAAGAATCCCCAGCTCTGGATGAGGTGTGGAGTCTGTACAAGCTAACAGGAGTTTACCAGGAAATGAGATTATAACAGGAAGGGGAAAGGGTGTTGAAACCAGGAAAAGCAACACCCCTTGCTGCTGTGACATCAGGGAGCTTGAAATATGGTCACCATCCGTCAGGTGCCCATCCTGACCTAGTAAATCAGGCCTAATCAGATAGCCTGTGTTGGCTCTGACGGAGTTCAAATACTACTACCCACTTCTGGGGATTACTGCCATTTCTGTACCTCTAAGGTAATGACTGACCTAGACAGCCATCTGTTGGGATCAGAGGTGGGGGAGAGAGTTGCCTCACACAAACTATGCAAGTGCTCTACCATTGCGCTACCACAGTGCAATCTGGCCATGTAGACCTCACAAGAGAGGTCAGGATCCTGGCCAATCTCAATGATAGGATCTGAAATATTCGTCTAGCTTAGAAGAATAGAGTGTTGAGCACTTGTAATCCCAGCATTCTGGAGGTGGTGAGTTCTAGGCTAGCTTGGGCTACTTGGCAAAATCCTGTCTAAAACCTGTTGAGCAGCAACAGAGGAAAGCCACCCAGGGTCTAGGAAGCTTCATCCCAGGATTGCCTCCCTGGTCTGGAGTCAGTGAGTGAGTACCACACCTGCCCACCCTGGCACAGAGAAAATGCATACGTGAATGGCAATGGATCAAGGAAGCCCAGGAAGATTCTGGACCAGAGTTTGGACTGGGCACCCAACAAATGTTCTCCAGGAAGACAGCAGGTCAGAGCACGGCTAGACGGATGGGTCATCTGAAAGCTTGGACCACAGTCCTATGGGCTGAAGGAAGAAGCCAGGAATGATGAGTCAGTTCCAGACCTAACAGACTCATAGAAAAACCAGACATACTGGTAAGAAAGAAGGGGCTGAAAAGGGGACAGAACCCAGGCTCCCCAGCCCCCCACCCGCCTTCACAGGTCAGGCCACACAGTGTTTAGACAGAAGTGAAGAAGAAACACAGACATCCTGGATGCCTCGGGGAAGAGGCCAGGACTGGAAACAGGGCCATCTGTTTATTCTTGGCAGTCCATTATCCGAGAGGCCCCATACCACTTCTGGCCAGACCCCAGGCTGAACTCTTCCAGAGCCTCTGACTTCTGCCCCACCAGATAGTGTGAGTCTGGAGGCTGTGTGCTAGCTTGCTGGAGGGTGGGTTAGAGGCTGGCTGCTCTCCTCTTCCTGCTTTCTATCCCAACTAAAGCCTGCTTCCCCAGGACCCTAAGGATGGTATGGGGCTGACTGCCTGAGTCCTGAGCCCACCAGCCCTTTTAGCAAATCCCAAGAGCCTATGCTCTTTTTTTTTTTTTTTCTTTAATCATGGGCTTGAACTCAGTGTTTGGGCAGTTGTCCCTGAGCTTTTTTGCCCAAGGCTAGCACTCTACCAGTTTGAGCCACCGCTCCACTTCCAGTTTTCTGGTGGTTAACTGGAATAAGAGTTGACTTTCCTGCCCAGGCTGGCTTTGAACTGTGATCCTCAGATCTGTCTCCTGAGTAGCTAGGATTACAGGTGTGAGCCACCAGTACCTGGCCTCTTGCTGCCTTTGAGGAGGGTGTTTTTCATATTTCAACTCCAGCTACCCCTAATTCCCCCAAACCTGAGGCTTGAACTGAAGGCCAGGATGCTGTCCCTGAGCTTTTGTGCTCAAGACTAGTGCTGTTCCTGCGTGGAACTGCAGCCCTCATATCTCAACCTCCTGAGGAGGATTAGCACCTGGCTTTCACCTCCAGCTTTCTTGATTCAGCTTCTATCTGTTTCTTCCTTACCCACCCAAAGCTGCCCTTGGGCTCCCCTGCCAGGAACTTGCCCCTCTTTTCCCTGTACCTAGCTTCCTCAGTTTCCCTTGGAGAAGTGACATTTCCCTTCTCATAGAATGACTTTCAACAGAGTTTTTGCTTCTTGGAAAGGTACATAAAGAGGCAGAATCCCTAATGATAATAATAGCTGGGTACCAGTGACGTGCCTCTAATCCTAGCTACTCCAGGCTAAGATGAGGATCCCAGTTCAAAACCAGCCTGGCAAACAAATCAGAGACTTAGCTCCAGTGAATCAGCTAAAAGCCAGAAATGGAGGTTGGCTCAAGTAGTAGAGCACCTGCCTTGAGCAAAAAAGTCAAGCAAGAGTTAAGAGGCCTTGAGTTTAGGCCTCAGTGTCAGCATGCACAAGGTGTGAATACAGTTTGGAGCTCCATTTTACAAATTAGGAAATGAATGAAAGAACAGTTTGCCTGAGTTCACACAGCTTAAAGAATGGATTTGTAGCCAGTTCTCATCTCAGCACCAGTGCCTGCCACTTACCTACCCACCATGGAGGAGGGAGGAGTCATTTGTTGAGATGACTGCCTCATTGCTGTCTAGCATTGTAGTATCCACGATTCCCTGATAATTCACCTCCCCGCCAGGAGGTAGTCTCTTTTGTTCCCAGTTAACAGGTGGGAAGACAAGCCCAGCAGTAGCCTGCCAAAGGTCACATCCTGCCCATGAGTATAGTGGCTCCAGCCTGTGATCCTAGCTACTAGGGAGGGATAGAGAGAGGATGGCTCAGAATGAGATCATGCAAAAAGTTGAGATTAAGCAGTGGTTGGGCGATGTGAGGGAACACAGATAGGATCACAATTATTCCTGCTGTGGTTCAAGCAACCAGGTTATGTGGGTGACACAACCCACACCCCAAAACGTGCCTGAGGGCTGATCCCTGCCTTATCTGCTACTCTAAGGGAGAAGGTACAGAGAACCCATCCCTACAGTAGGACTAGGGATACAGGCCAGCCTGAGAACAAAGCAAAACTCTATCTAAAAACATAAACAGGGCTGGGAAGGTGGCTCAGTGGTAGAGTGCTTGCCTTGCATGGATGAGGCCCTGGGTTCAATTCTTCAGCACCACATAAGCAGAAAAAGCCAGAAGTGGCACTGTGGCTCAAGAGCGCCAGCCTTGAGCTAAAGAGCTGAGGGACAGCGCCTAGGCCCAGAGTTCAGCCCCCACAACTGACAAAAATATAATAATAATAACCACTGTACACCAGTGGCTCCCATCTGAGATCTGCTGTTTGAAGCCAGTCTAAAGAAGACAAATCTGAGGTATCTCCAGTTAACCAGCACATAAGCAGGGCACCAGTGGCTCACACCTGTAATCCTAGCTACTTCAGGAGGCTGAGATCTGAGGATTGTGGTTCAAAGCCAGCCCTGGCAGGAAAGGTCGTGATACTCTTATCTCCAATAAACCACTCAGAAAACCGGAAGTGGCCCTGTGGCTCTAGTGGTAGTGCTAGCCTTGAGCTGAAGAGCTGAGGGACAGTGCCCAGGCCCAGAGTTCAAGCCCCATGACTGATTAAAAAAAAAATTAACCAGCACAACCTGGAGATGGAAGTAGGCTCAAGTAATAGAGCACCAATTGTAATAGAAAAAGCCAGCCTGGCACCAGTGGCTCTAGTATGTAATCATAGCTACTGAAGAGGCTGAAATCTGAGGATCACAGTTCAAAAGCCAGCTTGGGAAGGAAAGTCCATGAGACTTTTATCTCTAGTTAAACATCCAAAAAATTAGAAGTAGAGTTGTGCCCCAGGTTGTAGAGCTCCAGCCTTGAGCACAATGCTCAGGAACAGCACCCAGATGCTCAGTTCAAGCCCCAGGAGCAGTGTGCACGCACACGTGCACATGCACACACACACACACAAAGGCATAGTGAGAGTATAACAAGGAGTTCAAGCTCCACTACTGGCACCAAAAAAAAAAAGAAAAACAAGCTAGCATGGTCTCATGCCTCGCAAGCATGAGACCATGAATTCAAACCCCAGTACTGATAGGGGGTACAGGGGGAGTCACATCCTCAAAGCTATTTGTAACTTATACATAGTCCAGAACTTAACTTGGAAAGCAGTTGAGGAAAGTACAGGTGACCCCCAGATTCAGAAAGGGAAAGCTGACATTATAATGTGATGGAAGACAGTGAATTTCCCCAGGCTCCAGACCTCCAAGCAATACCAACACACACACACACACACACACACACACACTACCCTTTGATGTGCCATCAACGTTTGGAGCTGGCTGTGCAGTTCACTGGTTGCTTTAGGGTGTAATCTTCATAGCATGTACATATAATAGCTGGAGGTGGGGAGGGGTAGAGTCAATCATTTTTCATTAACTGGGATGCATTTCCCAGATTAGCTGGGCAGTGGTGGGCGAGAAGACTTCCAGAGGGAAGAAAGCCACCACTTAGGTGGCCCAGTGTTGGCTGGCAGCTGGGAAGGAGGTCACTAGCACAGAGAGCTAAGGAGGCAGTAAAATACAGCTGTGCCTCTCAGTAGCTGCAACTCAGGATGTGCCTGGCCCCTCCCCCAGGGCGGGGCCAATGCTGAGATCTGCCAGCTAACTTCAGCCCTCCATCCCTCTGGGAATCCAGGCTGGGGCAGAGCTTGAGCAGCCCTCCTGTACCCAGAGGGGAGGCAACTTGTACTCGTTGGCCAGGACACCAGACACAGTTTGAAGCCCTGCAAGCCCAGCTGCTGTGACTCCCTGACACTCAGACACCCCAGGCTGGCAAGCACCACCTGTCTCCAACAGACATGTGAGTAGCTACTCCTCTCTCCCCTTCCTCCCCATCCCTGCTGTGGTTCAAGCAACCAGGGTGTGTGGGTGGCACAACCCACACCCCAAAACATCATACTTGGGGACTGATCCCTGCCTCAAGGGAGAAGGTACAGGGGACCCATCCCTAGGGTAGGACTAGGGATCTCCAGATCAGGCCTGGTGTGGAGTAACAGATCGTGTCTCGTGGGGTTTAATACACAGACAGAATGGCGGGGAAGAAAGAGGAAGAGAAACTGGGGGCTGTTGCAGAAGGAAAGATGTCCTGGGTGGAGGACTTTGGGGGAGACTGAGGAAGAGGAAATGGGCTGGGGAGAGGGGTGGAGGGGAGGGGGAGAGAGTAGTCTCCATTCAGGGCCTGGAGACAGTGGGGAAGGAAAGGGGAGCATCTCCCTTCCCTCACGGTGGCCATGGGGTTGATTCTCTCACCCCAGGGAGGGGAAGAAGGAATACTTCCTTAGTGACCCTGGCCCTAGCAACAGCAACTGCTCCCCTATTGACAGAGGCAGGACCCCCTCCCCCTGAGCCCCCAGCTGGGGGGATTGAGACCAAGAAACCAAATGAAGGGGCAGAGACAGATCAGAGCGAGGCCAGGCCCTGCCCTCTAGCTCCTCCTCCCTGTCCTGAGCCCACCCCCAGCGCCTGCAGGGTCCATTCCTAGCCACTGATATCCCCTTTACTGGCTAAGCATCTCCCCACCCTCTTTCCCCCTACTCCCCGAGTTCCCAGGAAGGAAGGGCCTGTTGCCAGCGTGGAACGAGTCAAGTTTATGGGCTGGAAGTCCTACCCGGAGGCTGCTCACTGAGCTGTAACAGGCTGCAAGTGGGGAGGGGAGGGGTGTGGGCACAGGGCACCTGCTCTGGCTCCAGATGAAGCTCACAGGCATCTCCCCCAGTGACCCCATACCAGCTAGCCCCTGTCCTCTATTTTGGTTTAGCATGAGATCTCTGTGAGTGGGACAGAGGAACAAAATGTGTTTGCCTTTCAGTCTATAAACAAAGGCATAAACACAGCTGCCCAGAGACCAGGCAGACAGGACTAGGTAAAACTGCCTACCAGGGATGGTAGGAATGGCCCAAATGGCAGCCATCATACAGAATGTGGGTGTTGCCAGACCTGACTTCCAAGAGAAACCAAAACTACGACTTTATAAGCATAGAATCACTGTGGCCCACAGTCCATGGGCTTGCAGCCTCTCAATCACCGTGCAGGCTACTGTCCTGCCAGGAATAGTAGCACTCCATTGTAAACTTTTCCCCCTCCCCAATACAGGCATGCCAGCTGCAGCGCCAGCCCTCCCCGACCCCACAGCCCAAGATGACATCTAACAGCACCGGGGACATACCTGGCCCCATTCCCGCAGGCGCCCTGGGACTCTCCCTGGCCCTGGCGAGCCTCATTGTTGCCGCCAACCTGCTTCTGGCCCTGGGCATAGTCCGAGACCGTCACCTGCGCAGCCCACCTGCTGGCTGCTTTTTCCTGAGCCTGTTACTGGCTGGGCTGCTCACAGGCCTGGCGCTGCCCATGCTGCCAGGACTGTGGAACCAGAGTCGTCGGGGCTACTGGTCCTGCCTCCTTCTCTTTTTGGGTCCCAACTTCTCCTTCCTCTCCCTGCTTGCCAATCTGCTGCTGGTGCATGGAGAGCGCTACGTGACAGTGCTGCAGCCACTGCGACCACACGGGGGCAAGAAGCTGGCTCTGCTCCTCACCTGGATAGGCCCCCTGCTCTTTACCAGCCTGCCTGCCCTGGGGTGGAACCACTGGAGCCCTGGTGCCAACTGCAGCTCCCAATCTGTCTTCCCGGCCCCCTACCTCTACCTGGAGGTCTATGGTCTCCTGCTGCCGGCTGTGGGGGCTGCTGCTCTCCTCTCTGCCCGCGTGCTGGTAGCTGCCCACCGCCAACTGCAGGACATCTGCCGATTGGAGCGGGCAGTGTGCCGTAATGCACCCTCCACCCTTGCCCGGGCCCTCACCTGGAGACAGGCTAGGGCACAGGCTGGAGCCACGCTGCTATTTGTGCTGTGCTGGGGACCCTACGTGGCCACTCTGCTCTTGTCAGTATTGGCCTATGAGCATCGCCCACCCCTGGGACCTGGGACTCTGCTCTCCCTCATCTCACTGGGCAGTGCCAGTGCAGCAGCTGTGCCAGTAGCCATGGGTCTGGGTGACCAGCGCTACACAGCCCCATGGAGGCTGGCTGTCCAAAGATGGCTACGGATGCTGCAAAGAACCACCTCCAGGGACAGTCCAGGCCCCAGCATCGCCTACCGCACCAGTGCTCAAAGCAGGGTGGAGGTGAACTAGAGGGGACGACCAATGTTCATCCATCTCCGCCACAAAGCTTCTTCCTGTGCTTCTCTTGGATCAAAGGCCCTGCCCCTATGTGAGCCCACTCAGACGGAATAAAACGCCTCTGGCCACCTACAGTCCTTAGCAGCTATCTCAGAAATGGGGGCATGTGGAACAGCCCGTGGAAAGAAGCTAAAGACAGATCGTGTGCCAAGGGAGATACCACCTCCACAGAAGCAAGGCCCTGCCACTTACTTGGGGAGGATGCTGACGCATCTGGATAGGAGGCCATGTGCTGGGAGACTGGGTGGAGAGGGAATAGGGCGACTCAACCTGACACGGCCTTTGTTAGTTCCTCCTTGTATGTAGCCACCACAAAATCCACACAGACACTGCCTCTGGGAAGTATATTTTATTTACATTTTTAAAATCTTTTAACTAGTATCTCTTCCTCCTTTCCATCCCCTGAGATGTGGGAAGGGAAAGAACGGGAACCTCAAAGACCTACTCCCCACATACAAATACGGACCCCATGGCTCACACCAGCAAAGGAAAGTGAAAGAGAAAGAGGTCTGCCCTCCCCCGGAAGGGCCCCGCGGGGCAATGGAGACAGGGGTGGGGAGGGAGGGAGGCCCCAGGGCAAGGGTGGGTCTCAAGAGAAGGACAGAGAGGGGACAGGTCAGTTGAAGGGGTTGCAAAGTAGTCCAAGCCCCCTCCCCTCTTTTCTCTGTACCCCATGCCTCTGCTGGTGGTGGTGGTGGAGGAGGGGGCTGGAGGAGAGTCCCCCCTTCATCCCCCGCAACACCAGACACCACACCAGAGACAGCAGCCATTAACGGTCAGGCCTCTGGACACAAAATACTTTCGCTCTGTGGTCTCCTGACGTAGTTACCACCAGGGAGGCATCTCTGTGGACAGAAATCACAGGATCAGCTGGGCATTGCTGGCTCATGTCTGTAGTTGTAGCTACCCAGGAGGCTTAGGTGTGAGGATCACTATTCAAAGCTAGCTCGGGCAGGAAAGTCTGTAAGACTGTCACCTCCAAATTAACCACCAAAAAAGCCAAAACTGGAGCTGTGGCTCAAATGGTAGAGCACTACTAGCCTGGAGCACAAAAACTCAGGGACAGTATACATGCCCTGAGTTCAAGCCTGAGGACTGGCACAAAAAATAAAAAAGGAAGAAAGCTTAGAAACAAGAGGTCTAAAGAAGTTGGTCCCCACTATCCTAGTGCCTAGCACTGTTCTGACAAACACAAGCAGCTGGGGGATGAGAGGAGGAAACCCTCAGGGAGGGAGACCCCCAGGAAAGTCACTGTCAACCACGGAATGGACATGGGGCTGGATCAGAAGTGAGGTTTCCCAGGCTCCCAGGCATTCCTGTCTCACGGGCTACAGCTGGGCCGTGGAGTTCTGCTTCCCTAGAAACCCCTGCCACCCTATTCGGCCACCCGTTTCCAACTATGCAGAGATCCTAGTCCTTGCCCACTCTGCTTACTTGCTGAGGGCGAAGTCCAGGATCTCGGCCGTGTGTCCCCTATAGTCAGTGAGCAGACGGCCGGTCCGGGCGTCCCAGAGGCGCACGATGCCATCCAGGCTGCAAGTGTACACCACAGCAGTGCCAGCCTCCCACAGCAGCTGCACAATGCCGGACTGCCCCAGGGCACAGCAGAGGAAGGCAGATCAGAGGAGACAGCAGAGGCCTCGGCTGCCACTGGGAACCTCCCCAGTGGGAGCAGGGGAGGCATAAAGACCAGGCAGGAGCCAAGCATGGGGCAGATGCTCCCCAAGGCCTGGGCTTCCCTTCAGCCATAATCATAGACACTGGGAACCTGGCAGCCACCATCCTACCTGATGCTGACACTGATGCCTGAGCGTCTGAGTAGACAGGTCATAAATGGCCAGGGTTCCATCTAAGTAGCCAACAGCAGCCAGAGGCATCCTGGGAAGTAAACAGCACCAGCAAGGTTCATGAAACCCTGTACTCACCTTCCCTCCTTGGTCCCCCAGGCCAGGCCCCTCCACACGCCTTCTCTCCCCACCCTTGGGGTATCTAGGAGAAGGGCCCTGATTGGCACTTACACACTGCAGAAGCCCAGGGACTCCACGGAGTTGGACTCACTCTCCTCCCCCTCGACCAGACTGGGCTGGGAGGCCACAGACTCAGGTCTAAACACGCCCACCACCTATCAGCAAGAGGAAAGATCAGAGGGGACTTGGGTTCCTCCTGGTCCCCTCCAGAAGAAAGGCAGCAGAGAGGGAACAAGAAAGGAAGGGCTGGGGCTGGAGATACAGCTTGGTGGTAAAGCACTTGCCAACAAGCACATGGTGTTTCAGCCCAAGCACCACCAAAAAATGAGAAGGAAAAAGAAAAAAGAAAAGTGGGCTGGGAAGGTGGCTCAGTGGTAGAGCGCTTGCCTTGCATGCCTGAGGCCCTGGGTTCAATTCCTCAGCACCACATAAGCAAAAAGAAAAAAGCCGGAAGTGGCGCTGTGGCTCAAGTGGTAGAGCGCTAGCCTTGAGCTGAAGAGCTGAGGGACAGCACCCAGGCCCAGAGTTCAGGCCCCACGACCAAACCCCCCCCCAAAAAAAAAGAAAAAAAAAGTGGGCTGGGAATATGGCTTAGTGGTAGAGTGCTTGCCTCGAATGCATGAAGGCCTGGGTCTGACCACATAAACAGAAAAAGCCAGAAATGCTGCTCTGGCTCAAGTTGTAAAAGTACTCAGGCCCTGAGTTCAAGCTCTAGGACTGCCAAAAAAAAAGCAGTGAACTAGTTAATGTCCAGCATTATTTGAGCTGGACATGATGGCATGCACCTAGAATTCCAGCACTTGGGGCAGTGCAGGTCACAGGTTCCAGGGGTGTTCCAGACCAGCCTGGAATATACAGGGAGACTTGTCTAAAAAAAAATAAAATAAAAATCCAGAAAGTTACCAGATGTGGTGGCACATGTCTGTAATCCAGCTACTCAGGAGATGGAAATTGGGGAGGAGGCAGTTCTGGGTCAGTACAAGCAAAAAGTTATCAATATCCCATCTAAATAAACAAGGCACATGCAGTGGCCCATGCCTCTGGTTCCAGCTATGTGGAGGCATTAAATAGGAAGATCATGGTCCAATATCAACCCTAGGTTTCAAGTGCCCAACACTAAATGAAAACTAAAGCAAGCCAGGAGCCGGTGGCTCACACCTGTAATCCTAGCTACTCAGGAGGCTGAGATCTAAGGATCTCTGTTCAAAGCCAGCCATTCAGTAAAGTCTGTGAGACTCTTATCTACAATAAACCACCAGAAAACCAGAAGTGGCACTGTGGCTCAAGTGGTAGAGCGCTAGCCTAGCACTAGCACTAGCTGAAGAGCTCAGGGACAGCGCAGCGCCCAGGCCCAGAGTTCGAGCCCAATGACTGACAGACAGACAGACAGACAGACAGACAGACAGACAGACAGAAAGAAAGAAAGAAAGAAAGAGCAATAAAGACCAGAAGAATAAGTAGTAGCTCAAGTGATAAAAGGACCATTCTGTCTAGCAAGCACAAAACTCTTGAGTTCAAACCTCAGTATACTGGGGGGGGGGGTGAGGGGGAGGGAGGAAGGGCTAGGAAAAGACACTACTTGTGAGGCAGAAATGAGCAAGACTGAGGTTCAAGGCCAGTCCAAGCAAAAAAGTAAGAAAGACTGGATGTGGTAGTATATACTCATCACCCCAGAGACCCAGGAAGCGTAAATAAGAGATCGAGTCGAGGCCAGTTTGGAAAAAACTCAAGACCTTATGTTTACTAACTAAAGCAAAAGGGCTGGGGTATGTGTGGCTCTAATGGTAGAGCACCTGCCTTGCTGTCAGGAGGCCCTGAGTTTAGTCCCCCCCTCTCCCCCCTCACCCCCACCCCTGTACCCCGCTTACCACGTACCACCAAGAAAAAGGAAGGCAGAGGCCCCTAGCCACGTCCCAGGTCCACTCACCTTGCCAGTGGTGGCACTGACCAGCTTGGCCTGGCAGTCCACTGAGCCAGTTAGAATCAGGCTACCGTCTTGGTTGGTGGCAACACAAGTCAGAGGACCCTGGTGACCCTCGGTGCCTAGGATGGAGCACAACAGGTCAGGCTCTGAGTCCTGAACCTGGTTCTCAGGCCTCCTCAAAAACCCTCCCCCCACCCCTGATACCTTTCAGCACGTGGATGGGGTTTCCCTGCTTCAGGTCCCAAATCCGGATGGTACCATCTTCATAGCCTACCACAGCTCTCTTCCCTAAGGGCCAGAGGGTGCACTCTCAACACAAGAGGGCGGAGGAAGGGAAGGAGCACAAAGGCACCCACACTCTCCGGGAGAGTCAGGTAAGGGCACAGGTGGCTTGTGGGCAAACTGCAGGCCTAAGGCTGTCCGCTAGCCATAAGAGGGACGTGTGATACCAGCGTCTACTATGCACCGAGGAAGGAAAACCCAGGGCAGCAGCCCCTCACCATCGGGGAGGACGCGGCCACAGGTGGCTGGGCAGTTGGGGCCCTGAAAGGTCTTGCAGTCACCATTCGGGACCTTCCACATCCAGGTGTTGCCATCAGCTGTGCCGGCCAGCAGGACGGGTGCCCGAGGGTGCCACTCCATCCACTGTGAAGGGAGGATGGTCGGCAGTGAGGAGCCACCATGAGCCCCGTCCATTTCCCTGTTGTAGGGATCTTAGGAACTTCCCAGTCATATGTGCAGACATTCGTGCTATGCCATTGGGTGTGCTGGCTCAGAGCAGGCTTGTCCAGTGAGGAAGGACCGGCTCCCATAGCTCTCGCCCTACCCGAGGTCCCAGGGATTGAATCCCACTTGGAAGCTCTCACCTCCAGGTCTCCTGCTTCAAAGGACCAGACTTCCTCCTTGGTGTCTACCTGCCACACTTTTAAGAGACCACTCATGTCTCCTGTAGCCACCAGGGTAGAATCATGGCTGAAACCAGCACAAGTCACAGAGTCTTTATGGCCTAAAAAGAAAAACAGGCAGAGTTCAAGGCCAGCTTGGGCTATCAAACAATCCTGTCTCAAAAACAAAAAACAAAACAAAACAAAAAAACCGTGTAGCCGGGCACCTGTAATCCTAACTACTAAAGAGGCTAAGACCTGAGTATCACTG